TCTTTTGTGGCCAAAATGATTTCAAACATAAATAATATATTTGGTGTCTGAATTACTGTTTCTGTTTCTACTATGTTAAAATAGCCATTGTTGAAAGAAAGAAGAAAAACATCAATATTACAGGTGACCCCAAACTTCTGAGCAGTAGTGTGGTGTATTTCTTGCGGTCATGGTGTTTGTGATGTACTCTTATCTATATATTTTTTTTAATATTTGCACCCCTTACGTCACGTGTATATTTTAATTGTGACCTGCAAACATCCGGTTACTACTTACACAAAGAAAAGCTTTTTAATTTATAAAAATAAAGTGAGTAGAAACAGAGTTACGAGCTGCAACAAAGTTGCCCTGCTGGACTCATGGGTCATCTGTATGGTACGCCACTGGGTCTGTTACATCATATTGTTAAATTAGAAAGACAGTGTGTCTAGATTAAAGATTAAATAGGAACGAGTTGGGGCTTTTCTCTCAAAATGTTGTTATTAATTTAAACTGACTGATTATAAATTAGAGTATGCACTGATACATAAAAACCTGATACTAGTACTTAGTGGGGTGCTACTATTTGTAGTAGGGATGGGATAATATATCATAATATTGCGGATCAGCATAAAAAAACACATTAATCATGGTGAATTTCCAGTATCGTGACAAAGCTGTCTAGCTCTCCAGCATACAGTGCTATATTGATTTTCTGATTTAGTTTGAACAAGGGGACAAGTGGGATACAGCATCTTTCAAGACATCCCAAAATCCTAAAACTGTCACCATGGCTGAAGGCCCGGCTTCCCTGTTGTATCCCCCACAAAGAAAAGTTAAACCGGATGTGGAAATAGTATATATTCCAAAATAAAGGGAGATGAGGTCCCTATCTGTGATGCCATAAATATATATGTTTCTTAACAAAATGTAAGGTAAAGTAGTATGTTTTAGTTCAATTTTCGAGGCATGAATTATATTTTCATGATTATTGTGATAATAACATGTTTCACTCCAAGCATATTAAAATACTAACATTTCATGTGTACGATTAGAAAATCATATCAACCTAAACTCCACTGGTGGAATAAGTATTCTAACACTTAACTGAAATGAAAGTAGTAAAGGTGGAATTTAAAATACACTCTATTACAAGCTGTGCATTACAAATTAAAATGATAAAATTAAAAGTATATAAAAAGAATGAGTCTCGTCAGTGTTACATAGTTACATGAACAAATGAATGAATGATTGATCACATAATGTTATATAATATATGTATATGAAGAAGCTGCGTTAATGTTCCATCAAAAGACATATCAGTGCTACATATCACATACTATGTATTCATTCTATGTCATGTAATCATTACTATGTAAGCAGCATGTTACAGCTGGTCAAAGTGGGAATTTGACCTTGGACAGTTTAAAATACATCATATTTTATAAAAAAAGTGTTATATTTAGAGTATAAAGTAGTGTGAAATGGATATACTCCACGTAAATCAAAATTGTCTTTATTTTCTCATATTCCAATATCCTTTCCACAATTAAAACTAAATAAAAAGTAAACTTTGAAAATATAAACTCGAGGAAAATATACTTTAAAACTTTAATTTTAGATGGATGATTGGACAGTTTAACTATTAACTGTTTTACTGATGTCCTATTCAATAACCTGCATGCCTCTGTAGAATAATAGAATTATATTTAGACATTTGAACTGTATATATACAGCATATCTTGCTTTTCAGCAATGTAGTGTTGGCAAATAATAATGGATTTAATTCAGGTAATTGCACTGAACAGAACAGCTGGGGCAGACCATTAAAACATGCAGGCCAACATGTTTAGAAGGTAATGGTAATGTAACATCAGCATATTACTGTTAAATCTTTCAGGTTTACAGGAATGACTGCAGGATTACTCTCTTCATCTAGCTGGTCACTAAAGGAATAACACTGCATTATTGTTACTATACATAGTTGCTCTTCTGAAGCTAAACCCAGACAAGGAACAGTACTGTAGTGAACACGTGAGTGACTCCAGCTTCTGCTCTGCGGTGGAAAGCACAGGAAACTGTAGTAATGCCAAGTGACAATGAGAGCAAAGTCTATTGTATTACAGTTTCACATAAACACAGCCTGAAAACTCTCCTGTTCCACTTCAATCATTCTACTGGAATCACTGAACACATTGGAGGTGTGGACAGTCATTTAGAGTTCTCGAACAAGGTTATTATAAGAAGTCATCGCCACTAAACTTCCAACTTGTAATTAAATTGTGTATTTAAAATCTACAAATCTACAAGTGGGAGTTAGAATAGTTTGCAAGAACGCGAAAACACACAACAAGGTAAACACAACAAGGCTGTAAAGGCGTACTAGTGAGTAGATCGGTTTCTATGTTTTAATGTCACTGACAACCTCTGCAGTCTCATTTAGCCACTTTTTAGCAACCACCTTTTTTAAAACATTGTAAAAGCTTACGTTCACAGGTGGGGTATTTACTGAAATGTTTCATGTTGTAGAACAAAATGTGAAAATCAGCCAAGTTTATTTCAGCCATCTAACCAAAAACTAGAGTTGTTCCGATACCAAGACTAGTATGGAAAATTACTCTGATACTGACTAGAATTCGGTATTAGCTCCAGAACAGGACTCTGATACTTCTCAGCAGTGTCCTGTTTACCTTTTCTTCCCCAGGATTGCGAGGACCCACCCTACTCTAACAAAAGGTTTAACGTGAGCCTGGATGGGAGCCAACTGGGTGCTAAAATGCTCAGTTCCACCTTTTAGGACTAATTCCTGTAGCACTCTATGTGATGCCCCAGTAGCTCACCTGGTGGAGCTTGCACCCCATGTAGTAGGGCTGGGTCCTTACCGCAGCAGCTCAGATTTAATTCCAGCGGCCCTCTCTATCTACCCCTTTCCTGTCTCTCTTCAGCTGTTGCTGTCCAAAAAAGGCAAAAAAGTGATGTGGCAAAATGTATTTAGAAATGTCATAAAGTTACATAACTTGCAACAGACCGATTATAAAACAAATTGAAGAATTCTCTGAGCCCAAGCTTGAATTGATTCAGACTTGACAACGCTCCTCCAGAGACACAGAGGACACTATACAATCACAAATCATGACTATAATGTAGTACTATATACTACTAAAACTGGTGTTCATGTGTTCTCGCCCTTTAACCTACTTAGCTAAATGAGTTTAGTACGTAGCCACACCGATATTTACACTGAAACACACAGAACACAAAATGTTTTACTGCTGCATAGTGTTATACCGAAGCATCAGTGGGCACCATGCACAGACTCAATGCAATCTGCTCCATTTGCTTTTTTTCTATCACTGTTTAAGTTCTACCAAAAAGCTTGGCTTTCTCTGAAAATATTCAGTATCATACTGAATACTTAACACAAATGCTTGAAGAAATAAAACAAGCATTCCTTAATAATAACATTAATCAAGGCTACTCCAGAGGGACATCTGGAAACTCAAACATTAGCAGTGAAATCAAACTACAGCAACAGGTTTTGGGGTTATATGGTCGACTCATTCACCCAGCTTTAGTTTTTGTATAACCTTAATGACAACACTGTCTGTTCCAATCAGCTCAGCGCTGCTTCACAATCCATTTTTCAAACTTTATGACAGTTTTAATTGCTCCCACCTGCTGCCTGATCGACCTGCTCAACAGCCACTTTTACTCATGTGTGGAGGCAGACAAAGAAGTCTATTAGGTGCAACTTGCCTTTGCTGCAGTGAGGTCACTTAGGCATTAAATTAGTTCCAGCCTGTCTACCCTCCCACCCAGTGTGCGCACGCGCACACACGCGCACGCCGCACATGCGCACGCGAACACGGCACACACACGCGCGCACACACACACGCACGCACACACACGCGCGCACACACACACGTGCCAAAGGGCTCAGAGGCAGAGCGGGGTCGTCCCTTAATCGGAAGGTTGTGGTTTGATCCCGGCTCCTCCTGCCACTTGTCGAAGTTATCCTTGAGCAATACTGAACCCCAAATTGGGTCCTGGGTGCTCGGTGTGTGAATGAGTAGTTTTCTGTTCAACTGGACTTGCCATCACTGATTGAATGTGTGTGAAAGGCGTGAATGTGGCACGTAGTGTAAAAGTGCTTTGAGTGGTCAGAAGGACAGAAAGGCGCTTATACAAGTACAGGCTCCATACCATTTACCATTTACTAATATGCTGGAGCGTTGATTGTAGGGATTTTTGTTTAATTGTTATCTTTTCTCCTCCACCTTGCCTGTGGGTGTTAGCCTCATTGTTCATCCCGTTGATATTAGCAGGCGCTTTATTACCTTAAAGTTGCCACTGACATCAGTCATTGTTTTTCCATTCCTGGTCAGTCTTACTCATTAAACAGCAGTGTTGCTGTTCTGTTCACTCTTTTGTTGCCATGCCTATGCTGCCCACACCCGCTCATCTGTATCAGCTATGTGTCAGCTCTGAAGTACCAGCTACGTCCCTCCAAGGTGGTTGCTCTTTAATGTAAACCTTCTGATATAACAGATTTGGAGAAATCATGCATTTTCTACTGTGCTCAATGGGCACTGGAATAAATATCTTAAAACTAGATACATTTTGGGTATGGTAAAAGGTGCGTTAAGGTTACAGCGGTTAGCCTGTTTACATTTGCAGTGTTGCACGTGTTTGTGGTCACACAGCCACTATTTTTGCCTGTGGGAGAATAAGCTGCTGGCAGCCTCAGTATATTTGAAACATTACAACCAGGCTCAGGAGGATGTGTTACCCTTTCCAACCAGGTCCATGGGTAGATGTTGGTGACCTCAGGCGTACAGGCAGGGTTGCGCCCCAGTAGGGGCTGGTCTTCAGGTTCTTTGCTGTAGGTCTCCATACTGAATTGTTGCCCAGCCTCTGGGGACTCTGGAAGAGTCGGTGACCAGGGCAGAGAGCCGTCGGGCAGCGCGAAACCACCATCCTGGAGGCTCAGAACAGACACGATCCTGGAGGGAGCCTTGGCAAATTTGAGTTTAGGGCCATTTTGATCTGCACGTGTTCAAAGCCACATCAGAAGCTGGCCTTGGCCTCCTAGGAGGAAGACATAGAATGGGACAACTAATAGCATCAGTTGTTTCTTGATATGTGAAATATTGTAAATGTTCTCCCCACACACACACACAACACAACACACACACCACCACACACACACACACACACACACACACACGACACACACACACACACACACACACAACACACACACACACCACACACACACAAGTTTGCAGTATTGTTGCAAAAACTTTTACAAGCACGGGCGTGTATATGTGCTTCTTAGTGACTGTTAAAGGCTCCAGCAGGACTGTGTTTCCAGCATTGGACAGTTGAAAGTCGCGACAGCAAACTTCTTATAGCTGGGGAGCTCTGGACTACAGCAGTGTGTACCCCTTATTTACAATAAACGGTAGGCAGTCTGTCACTCTGGTCGAATGTCACCTCAAGTGTCACACACTTCCGTACACAAGGCCACATCCCCTATATGGTTTCTCTCTGCTGCAATGTTTTATATCTTACTAGGTGGGAGGGAGCTAGGCAGAAATTAGAGGTTTTGATTGACACTTTAAATAGGTTTTTAGGACAAAAATAGAGCTGCAATGCGTACAGAGGAATATCAAGCTCAATACACTACTCTATACAATAATGTGGGTGTTAAAGGGTCATGTTGTGTAACATTTAAAAAAGCATCTATTGGTATTTTTATCCACAAAGGTACTCTCCCAAGGAGTCCGCCATGTTGACCCACCCATGTTTCTTTACTACAATAGGCCCAGAACTGACAAACCAAACACTGGCTACAGATATGGCCTTTTCACGCTTTTTGCAGCCAGGGTAGTTTCTCCTTGCTGGGAAGGCGATGCGGTATTTAGTTGGTGCATTCTGCAACTTTCAACACTAGATGCCACTTGGATCCTACCACACTTAGGTTTGTTGGAACATTTAGTTTTAATTGAATGGGATCTTCTAAAACTGCAGGTGCAGGATTATGAGCACATTTCTAAGTTGCTCATATGTTTTACTGGGTTTTTTATATCAGGCACCAAGGACATTCATACTGAGAATCAGTGCCAAATTAAAAGGTTACAATGTATTTGATGGATTTTCCATTTGAGAATGAATATGCTGAATGGGGAGGTCATCAGTGTGTGTGGATAATCAATGACATGGTGTAATTGGGCAGCATCCCAGTCCAGTTTGCTCTGTCCAGTCATTCCCATTAATCAGGTTTTCTCTGTGGTCCTTACAGAACACCAAAACACATCGTGCTAATGTGTTTTTTACTGTGATCTTTGGTGGCCCCCATATATATTTATTTTGTTATGGACATCCTTCACTTTTCTTATTAGATCTTACTTGTAATTGTCAATTCTGCTAATATTTACGTATATAATTTATTTTGATTTGATTTGACATAACATAAGTCATCCTCACAAGACACAGTATAAGGGAGTAGTATATATAAGTAACAGTATATGATTGTACAGATGATACTGACATTTAACAGTATGGATCATAAAATTCAGTTTCAATGACAATGTTCTGGTCACAGGATTGGCTTAAGAATAGCAGGGGTTGGTCCCAGGTGGTCAAACATCATTGTAATTCTGACACATTTTGGACAAGAATTTTTTCAACTCCAACTAGCGTACATAACAGCAGAACCCAGTGAAACCACGGCCCACAACATACCGCTGATTAGACTCACTGATTGGAATGTATTGTATTCCACAATGGTTCTCTCCAAGTTTTCCCACTCAAACAGGCTCGTTTGTACCATCTGGCCATCAGACTCCACAGTGCCACAGCTCCCAGTTCCTCAAACCCCAGCAGATAAAGACTGGTTTTAGAACTCCTACCTACAACGCAATTTCCCACTTTAGTAAGTTAGTAGTTTAGTTTAGTTTTAGTTTTTTAGTTTTAGTCAAGGTTTAATTTCTGTTCATTTATTTTGGACTCCATGTCCTACTTGAACACAAATTAGTGTATATACTTTAATTTTATAGTTTTTATATCTTCTAAGTATTAATAATATAAGCAATATTTTACTGGTGATATTCTTTTGTTTTCTGTTTTTTTGCACTGCTTTGCCCAATTGCTGCTGTGTCAAAATGAATTTTCTCCTTAGGGGGATGAATAAAGGAATTATCTTATCTTATTCATTTGAACGTTTCTGTTGAAATTTATGATGAGATTTGAAATTGAACAAAGACAAAAACAGTGTCACAATGGTGTGACAAGCCTTGCGTATGCTTCCGAAGAAACGAAATCTGCTCATGGTTAGTGTTCATATTGTAAGTAATTGTTTTTCCCCCCCAAAACTAGCACTGGTTAGCATTCTGTTAGCTGGTGATGCTATAGACATGCATGTCAGGAACTGGGATGAGCAACACAGGGGGTCCTCTACCCCTTCCCGTTTACTCTCTACACCTCTGACTTCAGCTACAAATCAGCCATGCCACCTGCAGACAGAGTTGTTCCAATTCCTCCAATACTGCCTAAAATGTGGTATCGGTATGTGTCTCTGCATCGATCATTCCAGCGTAATTTATTAGCCCAGAAACAGGACTCTGCTCCTCCCTTCCCTTTTTTTTGAAGAGGTAAATTTGGCCGTCAGGCTTGATGATCAGTCAAAACATCTGGGGTTTTTGCACATTCTAACTGTAATTAGAAACTATGACACTCGAACAAGCTTTATACAAAACAAGCCTCTGCACTTAAATTAATAAAAAAAATGGCTTTGGCAAATACTTTCCAGTCCTGATTCTGTTTAACTCAAGAGCCCACTTCTTTCCCAGACAGAGGGAAATGGAGATTTGCCACATCATGGCAGAGAACAGGAACACCCACTGAGTAGTGATGGAAGTCAGCCGCACTAATCACCAGCACACTGAATAAATTAGTGTGTGCTAGAGAAAGTTTTCATCACCAGAAGGAGTCCTGCTACTAGATTGACTACGGCAGTGAACTAACCCTTTTCTTTTCCAAAAGGATTCTGATAAATCACAGATGTTAGAGTTATTATACATGTGGATATTGCCAGGTGTAGAAACAGTCATGATTCTCTATGGATATTTTATATAATCTAATTCCTATCGTCTGCCTTTAGACATTATCTGACAAGACTGTTTACCACCTACATTTGAATACTGTGAGAGGACAGATCATTTATCTAAAAGCACTGATTAGCAGTAAAAACTAATCACTTTTGCTTTTATCATGCTGTGGTTGTTTTACTTTTTATTATGGTTATGATAAAACATACATAACTTAATTGTCTGGATTTACTAAATTTGGTCACATGAGCAGAGCGGGACATTTTAAAGTAAAAAATGAGTCAGTTCTCACTAATGAACAAACTATATCATGGAGACAACCTATGCTGCATTCACATGGATTCAGGCAGACGGACACCTTCTGGACAGCACAGGACAAACCAACAATATGCAATGTCAGCAGGGTAAAATAAAACATGCATGAAGATATGTTGCTATGGTGATGTTACAAAGAATGGAATAAAATATATTACAAGGACACAAGATAATTTAATTGCTATTTTACAATGTAGGGTTGTATAATGAAATTCAGGTTATACTTGTAAAAACTAAAATATATATACAAAAAAAATTAAGTCAGATAAGTCATAAAAAACTATTTTTTCCTGTTTTTTTGTTGTTGTTATTTGTTTAAAGGATGTAATATGGGACAAGGATAGGTGGTCATTCGTCGAAAATATCTCTAAACATGAGAATCATGTGGGTCATTTCATCAAAATTCAATTATTAAATTCAACAGTAACAACATCATATGGTTGCAACTAACAAATATTTTCATTACACGTCAATCTGTGAATTATTTTCAATCATTTGGTCTACTACGTGTTTATGGTCCAGTGTGTAACATTTAGGAGGATCTAATGCCAGAAATGGAATATAATATTCATAGCATTTTCTTTAGTGTATAATTACCTCAAAGTTGTTCTACAGACACCGCAAGTCGCCTTCCACGGAATTGTTGAACTGCAATGTTTCTACAGTAGCCCAGAAGGGACTGGCTCTAGAAAGGGGCATTAGCGTTTTTCGTGTGTTTCTCCTTTCGCGCTTGAAAGGGGAGGGTGAAATGAGGGAGTTGCAATCTGCAACTACACCACTAGATGCCACTAAATCCTACGCACTGGTCCTTTAAAATAAAAATAGTTCTCTCTCTGGTGACATGCATCTTGTTCCTTTTTTTGTTCTGACTAACAGTCACTGCTAGAGTCACTGTTTCAGCATAACACATTCTCATGTTTTCATTATAGCATGAAATCTTCTCTCTGTTCTGCCTTTTGTACATTTTTCTTAAACCCAAGCCCTCACATACCTCGCTTCCTAAACATCATTTGATTTGAAAGCCTCTCCCGAGAATATAATCTTTACATTTTGTGCATTGAAGAAAGCGATCTGTAAAATTCTACTTCATTTTCAGGTAAAGAGTTCCAAAGTACAGATCTATGAGTATCCAATGTCCTTGACAACGGCAGCACTTCAGAGAAACAACACCCTCAGACTTTATACCTGATTCCACTCACGACCAGAACATCCTGATCAACTTTAGCACTGAATAAAACTACTGGAAGCAATCCGATGGTTGGTTTACTCGCGAGCCAGCAGCAGGGCCGTTTCTGCAGACATGTTTGACGGTCCACAGCTACCAGCCTTCTCCTCCTTCAACCTACAAAACAATCTGGAAACAATTCTGCAGCCCCCATTCCATCAGCCCTGCTGCTTGTTGGACCAAAGTGGCTTCTTCGGGCAGCAGGTCAAAGGTCACACAGTAATCCAAACATTTACAACACGTGAATACAAAAGCAGCTTCAATTACTACTGCTACTTTCTACTACATATTATCTTTTAAATTTACTGTTTTTTATGGGCCCAGGCCTCTGTGACCAAAAATGACACCTGGCCTTCACTCATACCAGCCAGTTATCAGGCAGCTCTGCTTCTTAACCTGGGGTTCTCTGACTTTCCCCTCCTAGCTGCCCTAGTGGC